TTGCGCGCCTAAACCGCCTCTGTTACCTCCGGTTGTCTTTGCCTTGCCTTGTTGTCAGAACGAAATAGGTGTGAGAGGAGAAAAGTGCGGTTGGTGCTACACGAATCTGCCTCACTGATGATGCCCCCACTCCGTGGTACACACAGTGGACGTGGTCGCTCACGACGACCGCACTGTCTTGTGGGTCGTCCACGTTTTTTAGAGTGATTACTCTCTACCAGGAAATATCCAATTGCAAAGTTCTTGAATTTCCTGTTGCCTGGTAATGGCTGGGAAACCCCGTGTCCTTCATTCGGACGGTGGCATTCTGGGCAAAACCCGTTTATATAGAAGACCACCTGAGCTGGTTATATCGTCGATTGACCCGCATTCCTCGATAAGCCACTGCCGCCCATTTTCCAAATGAACTGTAGGATAGAGGCTTATGACGCTCGTTTTGCTGCTTGAGTCAGTCATAAGAAACACCCAGACTGTTATGTCCTTTTTAACGTTTGCGCTCTACCTCACGTGAACCAATTAATTCAGGCATTATGCAGTCTTGTGTGGTTTATTACGTAAGTTCCTCCCTTGGGGGCTGCCGGCCTTAAACAGTACCTCCCGGCTGACTTTCTTTAGTGCAAACATAACAACTACTACCAAATAGTTGATACGCAGTGTTGTACGCATTTTTCTCGCAGATGGAGTCAGAGCACGGTGACACGGCCGCGTCCCCACCCTCTGCCGTGAAGGCCCCATTGCCCGAGAATGGTGCGAGCACGGCTGGGGGAGAGGACTCCAGATCGCCTTCTCCTCCTCCACAGAAGGAGAACACCAATAACAACACCGGGCATCACAGCGAGGAGGATGGTCGCGGCGATGATGATACGGTCGGCCCCCTGCCTTCGGAGATGACGGCTCCCGAACCCGACGAGAGTGCCGACAACAGTTGCTCTGAGCCACCGAAGAAGAAGCGGAAGAAGAGAGGTTTGTCCAACAGGCTTCTTCGTAAATGATAAACTCCGTTTCCACGTGACGCTCCATCTTAACTCACATTGATTTCAGTTTTGAAGGACGAGGCCCTTCTGTTGAAGAGCCTTCCCACGGCCCAGTACTACGAAGTCAGCTATATGCATCGAAACGTCATAACCCATCTCGCCTACTCCAAGTAAGTGATAGGATGTCTGCACTTGTCAGCATCACGATGTCACTTTCGCCCCCCCCCCCCTTCCCAACTCTCAATCCTTTCTCATCCAAGTACACTGTTTGCTATTCGTCTTGCACGACCATTGAAGAGCAAGGAGTAATTCCCCCCTGACATTCCAGTTTTTCATAATCATATATTGTTCTCTGTGTTCCTTCCATGGATGCCGGGTTGCGGAGCCGCGCGTGATTCGGTCAGATACGGCCCTCCAACTCGTTGATTTCACTCGAGACCGGGATTGCTTTAAGATGCCTACTCACATCATCTACTAATGATTTTTTCTGCTGTTTCAGGACCCATTACCTGATAACTTGCAGTTGTGATGGTCATCTGAAGTTTTGGCGTCTTGCAGAGACCTTCGGTTTGGAATTCGTAAAGCACTATCGAGCACACCTTGGTGAGTCGCTGTCCTCGTCATTGCCAGGCCTGCTTCACTACCTTTCCTGTACCTTGATTTTCGCATTCTGAGCTTCCTGTTCAACCTTCTACCTTCTCAGCCGCGTCAGTAGTAAAGGCACGGGCGCACTTGGGGTAAATTCAACATATATGTATGTATGTATATGGAAGAGCAAGATGAGGGGATCTCTGGGGAAGAAGGTTTATTCGTCTGAGGTTTCTTACTCGTACTGGAGCACATCATCGGGGACAGGCCAAATGAGAAATACATGGTTTAAATAGGCCATCCGCGCTCGCGCCTGATAGGTCGATCCCGCTCTCCTCTTATTGGCACGAGCGCATTTGGAGTAAATTCAACATATATATATGTATGATAAATGGACGCGCAGCGGTCAGGTTACGGTACCTGTTAGTTCTGTTGAACCTTAGGGCTCAAACTAGAACTCTCGCAGGCGGTCGCACAACAACTAGTAGTATAGGCAAATAAGATGCTACCGACAAAGACAAGGGAGATCGGAATGGCCATTTCTGGCATATTAGCTGTAATCAGCCAGTCCTACCAAACCCCAAGTGCGGGTCGCTTGAGATTCGAGCCCGGGTGTTGTTGCATTCACTAATGCATTCCCAGATTGTCGGAGAAACTTAGTGAGTCAGAACGCTTAATTTATCTGGTTTCAGGTTATTGATCGTGGACAAGAAATTTTCGAAAGTGCGAAACCAGTGACTCCACTGTTTAGAAGCGTCTTGAGCATTTGGATTAGCATCGAATCCTTCTGGCCTAAGGAATCGATCCATTTTGTAATTATAAGATGAATAAATTCTTGTAGCTAGAACCGTAGCAAGCACACCAGATGGAGAGGACGAACAAATATGGATGCAAGAGTCGGAACGAGAATACACAATAACAGGGCTTTATTCATCTTACAATTGACGTACTGGGACTAAAACGAGAAAGAGAAAAGTAGTGGATAAGATGGAATTTAGCCAGGGGCTTATGTTAGCATGACACCGGGATCTTTGGTCATGGAGTTTGACACTGCCATTGAGCCACGGACGCGTCCTGTCGGTTGTGACTGGGAATATTAATTATGATAGGTGGGCGCTCACTGATTTC